TAACCAACTTAGGTTGCAATACTAGATATATTCTTTGAGGGAAGTGCCCTCTGCTCTACCAAAATTTCGTCCCCTGATCACCTCATTACGAATTCGCCGATTCCAGCTACAGTTCTGAGTCATCGGCGGTGAAAGACCTGGAGGTCTCTCGGTCGAAGTGGATAAGTCTGGCAGCCGTACAACATTACAGCCCATACAATAGCTGGATACATGAGTCCTTCGGGACTCAATGAAACACTTTTTTGACGTCACAAACGGTGTTTAGTGGCTAACACAATTCTGGCCTTCAAGATTCGTGCGTTTGCTTCGTCCTTCACAGTACTGTCAGAGCTAACGCAACTTCCAAGACACATTTATTGCACCACAACCTTCGGTGTCACTCCTTTGTTTCTCAGAGGTATGTTCAATGACTGTGCGTCCTACAGCGTGACTTTGCACTTTTTGAGCGCGAAGTATCTATCAAAGGAGTGAATGACTTTGGTCAGCTTTCCAAGTAATGTTTGCGCTCCCTTCTCTTTTTGAAAAATGAGAACGATATCGTCCACATGTTACAGATCGATGAGGTTCTTGCTCGGGAGATCTGAACACCGGCGTTTTTAAAACCTTTCAGTTTTCCCTTTGTTTTCTAATCAGTAATAAAGGTTTATTTAAAAATGTAGATAGTGGTCATTCTCGTCGGACATCACTGCTTGTAATAAAACTTGGAGAGCTCCCCATACACTCTCATATGGATACGTTGCCTGGAAACATCACAAACGAGAGATTCAGCTGGGTTCCAGGTGAGTCTCTCCAAAAACCAAATTAGTTTGCAAATGAGTGTATATTGGCTAATTTCGTGCGATTTGGTTTTAATTAGAACATAAGATTGACGGAAACTCGGGAACTGCGCCTACCTGATGAGCACCGAAACGGGCGAAACCGGTCGTGGACTATCGACGGATTTTTAGCAACCTTATGAGTAATGCAATACAAATGAACTCATCTTTTGGTCACCCAACTCTCATCCACCCAAGTAACTTGATGTATATGATACTTTATACTTCGTTTGTCCAAGTTTGTACCATCGCTTGGCAGAATAATAAACTCCTTCGCAAATGGTACCCAATGAATCTTTTCTTTGCCTATTTTTAGCTCCTCTTCAGCGCTACTTTACTGTGTTCGCACAGATGGTCGTAACAAATTAAATGCTACAGTGACCTCTTTTTTCTCTCTACGTGACATTCGAAGCACGACTTCCGGCTTGCTGGTGTTCTAGAAATGGTCATGTTTTTCGTCCGAAACTAAATCGTTACCCCGAAATTTGTTCAAACATAAAGGCTTTATTGATAATCCCTTCCCCATCTTTATATTTTACATGAAGAAATTAAGTCAGTTCAGGGGCCCCCAAAGGATTTTCCGCAACCTTCTCTTGTCCCTGACTCCATATCCAACTGTTTGCCTGCCAAATGCGCATTTCTTATCAGTGTGTCGACCTCATATTTTCCCCTTTATACTTTGTTTATCATTCCATCATCGTCAGTTTGCCCCCAAGGTAAGCCAGTTGTCATGATGGTCTTGTCGAACAGACCAGCGGAGAATTTTAAGCATATTCTCAGCTGAGAGGTTTTCCTCTGTCAGGAGGAATGATCAAAATCCATATGGTTTTTGTCAAAAATAAGCAAGTAGAACATTTATGTAAGTACATTTGATGAAATGCTGCTCGACAAATAGTGACCGCTGCCATGACTTCTCTGTCTACTTGTCATCAGGTAAGCATTTGATGGCCTTGCTCTGTTTTAGTCAGTGGTGCGTTAGGTAGAGAACTTCGTGATAATTTCAGCCTTCAAGCGCTCTACACTGGACGCTCATTCTGTTGACTGGAGTTCGTCTCAGTATTTAGATGGTTAAAAAATGGTTCTTTTAAGGTTTGTAGATTCCGTAGAATCGATTCATCTATTCGCATCAGCAAAACGTCCGCTTACCGAACACTTTTTCAGACCTACATCATACTTTGAAGATCCGACGTCAAGTAGACTAAACAGTGAGGTGTGATTTCTTAGTTTCGCGTCGCCTTTCGTCCAAACAACGATTACAAGGGTAGTCCGATCGGTGCCTCAATGGCGGTCAGCAATACTAAGAACCACAACATCAACAGATTCAGCGTTTTCCGGCCATATGCATGATATCATATCGAAATCACTTCCGTGTGTTTTAGTATTTAACAGAATTCAGAAGAATACTGGTGCGGCAAGTAGAACTTCACAAGGACCGCTTCCCGTGATACACTGCACATGTGCAAAAGAACTAACTTTTGATGAATTAGCAATCCTCGTAGGCGTAACTGTTGAAGCACATTGAGAAGTCAGCCACTTTCCAGATTTAGTTCGATATAGACATTCATAGATCAGCTTTACCGCAGATTACATTCCCTGTTGATTTCTTTTTAAAAAGCCTTACAAGGTACTTTGTTAACTTCCAAAGGGTTCACTAACAAGTCCTTGCGGGCAGTGCTTTCTTTTAACTCGAGAAAATATCCTCTGTATCAACTATGCCTGTCGCCCTTTATTCTTTACGTTTCCCACTCCATTCACATCGAGTCAGCTAACCCTCTGAATAGAAGATTAGCATTAATCACTAGAGACCACAGCCTATCCGCCGTGATTATGAAGATTACTTATCTGTTTCATTTTGTATGTTGTGTTTCACTTTTTAGGTTAACTTTTTTACAATTGTATGTGATCTGGAAAAATATTGTGTTGAAAATCAATTCAGGACACCTTTTACAGGCAGTCATCAATATTAACTATTCTGGTGTAATCGCCACTCCATGTTATATTGGTATTAAGATTGTACTTACTTACTTTGGTTTTTGGAGAAATTTATGAGTAAAGCTTTGTATACTGGCATGACAAGATCCTTTTGGATGGGAAATTAAATGTTTCCGAGTGAAACATCAACACTACGCATGCTACCTCGTCCCATGAACAAAGATTTGCACTATATGGAATTCAAGCCACAAGTTGTTCATCTCTTGCCTGGTAAGCTTTTCGCTCAGAATACGAGAACCTTAAATGAAGGCTCCTGCGTGTTACTCCAATATCCTAAATGAGAGATTCAGTTGAGTCTCTCGTGAAAACCAAATTGATTTGTAAATTAGTGTGTTTCTCGAAAACAGTCCAATTTGGGTTCAAGCAGATCATAAGGTTGACGGAAACTCGGGGACTGCGCCTACCTGATGAACCCCAAGAAGGGTGAAACCGGTCGTGGGCTGTCGAAGCGTTTTCAGCAACCTTGTGAGTAGTTTCTCTTAAGAAAACTGTTTTCTGTTTTCTTCCCCATTCTGATGACTATTCGCCGCCGAGGTGTAGGCGAATAAATTATCGCCTTAGTATGCAGATCCTGACCTTTTGTACTTTTGAGGTCCATTTCGCTCCTTCTCCGATAAAATATAGGCTTGGTTTAACGTTGTAGAACACGTGGCAGCAAGTTTTTGTGAATAAACAGTCATCTCAGGGTTGCGATCATCGCAGTCGTGTGCAGCGGGTCCTGTGTATGTGCCTATGCCTTTACGCACCAATCAGCGTCCTTGTTGTTGTCTGCTCTCGGTAGAATGAGTANACGCTACGCATAGTAATGGACATAAGCGAAACGTCAACTTCTTTGAGTCTGTCAAGAGGAGCCAGTAGCAGCGAAGTGCATGATTGATTGATTTCTGGACTGTTAGATTACGATCAATCTAAGCAATCTATCGTTCTTTGAATTTGAGAGAATGGTAAATAAGGAAAATAACTTAGACCTAAAGATGGTGTGTTCTGCATCCTACAAGGGTGTATGCTCCTTGGGGATCCACACAGACCAAATCTCATGAAACGTTCCACCGATTCGGTTACCGATTGTCCAGCACCAGTGAGAAGTACGAAGTGTAAAACTTTACATTGTCTCTAAAATCAGGAACCTGTCCTAGGTCTCGTAGGATGGGCTAAACAGGGCTCCTTTTTCATAGACAATAGTTTCCAGTGAGTTTTACGAAGGACAGTGTGTAACCTGAAGCCAGAGTAACGTACTGTTCGGTCGTTTTTCTTCCATTTGACATTTGTTAGGTTTCACTGGTTGAGTGTTGCCTTAGTTATACCCTCATATTAGTGACAGTTTGCTCCTCTCTGTGCATATGTCGTGAAACACCATAAATATCACTTTTCTCTTCCCTGGTTTCATACTCTATCTTATAGAACCTAGTTTCTCGTGACAAGTAGGCAGCCACCAGCTGCATGGTAAATTATCTGGAGCGACTTCATCAGACAGCAAAATCCCTTTCATTCATTTTAGGACTTCATCCATAATGCCATCCTCACCCTATTTCATGCCAAAACTTTCATCCTCGTATTTCATTGGGACGGTTACTACCCTCATAGATACGCACTTTGCTTCTTTTGACGTATGGGCGTTTGATTTTGACTGTTCATAGTGACATCTGCAACGATCATCAGTTTGGGTGCCCCTTAACAACGAGAAAGTGAACAAACTTTTTATATGAACTTGATTACAAAAGCACCTCACATGTGACTGTCGAGTACTCCTCGACCACCGGTATTTAACCACTCTGTTTAGATTGTGTTAAAGGTGTGCAACTTTGTCTTTTCCAGCTGACAGGTACCCATAAATTCTTTTTTTCATTTCATAACGAGTGTTGTGTATAGGCACACCAAGTCACAAAATTATAGCGGTGTAGCTAAAACGCCCGGCGACCGGAACGAGTTCAAATTGCGAATGTGGTAAATCTGACCTCAATCGTTGAGATTATCTCCAATTTGAATGTCTTCTCATTGCATCATCACCAACCATTCTGGGTGTTGTCTCGTTTTAGTGCCTATGTAGAGACATGTCAGGTAGTTATCCGACGTTACATCCTGCCCCGACCAGTATTATTCGTTTCCTGACGGATGTCAATAGTTGTTTTGTGTGTCCTTGTCCCTACAAACTTTTATTTATCCTACTTCTTTCTTCCTCGTGCGTTTCAACAGGTATCGTGGAGATGGACGAAGTTATCGAATCAACATCCTTGTTCGTCCCACCTGGGACTCTCAGTGGTTCGAGACTCATCATTTCGTCCTATACACTCGTGGAGGGCCTTACTGGCAGGTAGCGAAGATCCCACTGTCGAAGTTTTTCCTCCTCAGCAAAGGTACAGTCCGACTCAGTCAATTCAAGCTACCACAAAACAACATCCGGTTGATGAATTTCACGTTGATGGATGGTGTAGACGGCCCGTTCAGTTTGGAGTTGGACTATATCGCATTGTACAAAGACCCGGATCACCATGAAAAATTTGCCTATGAACAGTACGATAGATCAGGCATATTAAAGTGAACAACTTCCTCTTCTGGCTATCAGCAAAACGAATTTGTATTAAACTGCCGTCTTTTTAAAGTATCCATTTTTTAGTCATTCTATTACGAAGAGAATGTGGACTCCACTTGATGGGACGGTTTGTGACCTTCACATTCTGTCGGATGCTACGAAGTCATGCGTATAAGCCACACATGATTTTAAGATTCCGGGATTCTAACGACGCATCCGACTCACTTCATCTGTCTTAGCACGCTCACTCAGCAAGGAATGTCTTGGAGGTTCATTAACGTAATTTCTCAGAGTGAGAGTATACGTTGTCCAACGGCTTCCGTACACAAAGTAGTGTCCGTCGTGGGTGTTCAGTTTCTGCATTTCCGTTTAATTTCGCGATGGACGAGCTAGTGATAGGAACACTGGAGAACCTTCAAAACCCTAGTGTTCGAACAGCTGCTGACAAAATTCCTGTCGATCTCGAATATACCGGTGACATTGTACTCGTCTTTGAGGATGAAAAGGTGCTGATGTTTTTGAATGAACCGATCAAAGTCATCCCGGTTTTTTTGAATGAACTGATCAAAGTCATCCCGGTATGTGCTCTGCACCGACAAAGTGTAAGGCCTTGCTCCTGGACATGCAGTCACTGAACATTCCACTTACAATCCAAGGAGAGATAATTAAAGTTAGGGAACGGTTTATGTATCTCGGGAGTTGTATTGGTTCTGATTGTAGTGTGACACATGAGTTCAATGCATGAATCTCCGAAGCTTGCTAGTGAGAGACACGTATGGTGGCAAAGCGGTATATTCATGAGTCTCAGCGGACGTGTGTGCGGCCGGCTACAATACGAAATATTATGTTTTATGGTGGTGAGTCATGGCCTCTGCGAAACGGGCGTACGTTTGTGTGTCAAGTTCTTCAGTCAAAGAACGTGTCCAGCACTGAAAAGACTCTACGGTGGTCATGCCATGTATGACGCATGACGAATCGTTGTTTGTGGAACAGAGTTCTGTTTTCCCTCTCCCATTCACTATGGCACTAGCAGGGAGATAGTCAACCTTTGACCTTGTAGTGGGAAGTGAATTCCATTACAAAAATTATGGGTGCTGTTAGTGCCCTTCACCTTCCGCGATGCAGTCCGCGTCATCCCTACTGTACATGTTTGAGGACGCTGTGAGTTACGGCTACTAATCAATTCCAACAGCTTCTTCGTCAGCTTCTTTCCAGAGTGTCTGGGTGCGTAGCTACCTCAGAATGATTATGGCAGACTAGCACTGAGTCCCATCTAGTTTTTTCTTCTTTGCAATAAGACCTTGAAGTAAATTGTGTATGTACGGCAGCAACGTATCAGTGTTGAACGCTGGTGTTATTCTATTGATCATGGTGATTCTGTCATTTAATGCGTCACTCAGACAGGGGTTCCTTTACTAAGGTGTGCCGAAAATAGCCGAGAATCACTGTGGCTGATTCTCGTTGGTACTGACTAGCATTGCACATCTCGTGAATACTGAGGAGAAGCTGAACCTTATACTCTCCCAATGAGAGTTTGAATGTCGTCACTTGCGATTGGCTGATTCTCAAAATGGCTAACCTGCACCCAGCTTATAACGGAACACTCATCGACTGTTTACTCGAGTGTTGAAAGCCTTCGTGGCCTGAAGTATTTTGTCTTCTCTGAGTGTCCTCTCCCGTTCGTCAAGTGGTCTCCAGTGTTATTCAGATACCGATTTTCTTCAATAGAGTGAACGTGTCACCGAAAACTTCTCGGTCACTACACTAACAGAAACGACATGGAATGGACAAATTGATTCAACTAGCCAGCGTAGACCAATTGATTCTTTCTGGTTCCTGCCGAAACCCTTGATGTTTAGTGCAGTCAGTCACTCGTTCAAAGACGTTGTAATTATTTCCTACTAACGTTCAGCATCCAAGCAAGTGGTACGGTATTGTTGTTTTTTGAAGGAGATGACAATAAACTGAACTTGACCGGGAAGTTGGTAGCGGTGTTATTGAAATATGCGGGGATCTGTATGTGCCCTTGAAAGATATGACAGTGAAGTTTCAAAATCGCTCCAGGATGTTCAGTTGATTTTGAGTACTTATCCCGTTAATAGATACTTGCAATGAGGGATAATCGAATCATCGCCATTCTCATTTTAAGAAATGCCCATTAAATTAAGACATGTATTCAAATAGTCGTGCCAGAACTTGAGGTAGAACTTCGTGAAAGGGTCATTGACAAGGATGATTATACCTCTGAGACAGGCAGATTTTTAAAACGAATCAAAGGTTACCAAAACTCTACCGTCAAGCCACTGAGATTTGTAGATGAGATGTAAACCAAGGATCCTAATTCGGAAGAAGATCGTGTTAAGGAGGGAAAAGTGGAAGGTGAGTGATTGTTGTTAATAAAAGAGTGGCTTGAATTAAAATTTATTGTCGAAAATTAAGAACCCTAGAGGGAGGTTGAGATGTGAGTATGTAAATAAGTCGTTCAGCTGTAGCACCCTTTTGATGCCTAACAAAGTGGAAGGTGAGTGATTGTTGTTAATAAAAGAGTGGCTTGAATTAAAATTTATTGTCGAAAATTAAGAACCCTAGAGGGAGGTTGAGATGTGAGTATGTAAATAAGTCGTTCAGCTGTAGCACCCTTTTTGATGCCTAACTGTCCATGCCACTCGAAGGAAGCACGAGGGCTTGGATGCTGTCAGGCTGCCCAAACCTAGCCAGGGAGGCTGAAATAAGACAATTGCAACTCTTCTTGAGAACTTAGTTTCACTGATTTTCCGGTCAACTGAGGATTCCTCCGAAACAGACAGCTGCATCAAGCATGGCGTCAAACCACAGACACATAGTTATTGACTGAGATTTCGTTTCGCAACATATAGACGCAAGCTTTCTCTGCTCAGTGCAAGGAAACAGTGAAACAACTGATCTACTGGAGCTGAAACAAGAAGCGCGAAAATCAGAGTCCTAGGGCTGGAGCAAACAGAAGACACCACGTCGGAAATCATAGTAACGTAGCTATTTGCATACACAGTGGGAGTACCGTTTTATAGAAAGTGATGATTGCAGACCAAATAGCCAGTTGGTCTCTAACTCAGCATTGGTGGGGCTGCTACGTTTGGTCTTCGGATCCGCAGACTAAATCTGGCCTTCTAGAAATGCGAACACAATGTGCTTAGCTGATTAAAGATGGAGTTCCAACTGGATGTGCTTTCCTTAGGACAATAAATACATGATGAAAACTATTTCTGGTTGTCCCATTTCGCAAAACAAATCATTTTCAACGCCGGTAGTTACGTGCAGAATGGTGTAGACACACTGGAATTCTCAGTTCAACGTTTCTGGATTGGCTGGGTGGATGCGCAGTGCAGTCCTGTGGGATTTTCGTATCCCGCTTGTCAGGTCATTTTGATATTGAGTCTCTCAAGCCAGCCTCTCGTGATCCCTATTCACCGGTGCTGTATACAAAACGTGGGCATACTCATTCTGGCAGAGCACCACGATCTTATGCATATATCTGCAATCAGAGGCTTCCTCTGTCACCTGAAAGCATGGCAACACTATCCCTCTCTTCGATCATTTATTGCTTATTCAGAGTTGTTCTTTCCATAGAAGAACTTTTGTAGGGGTGCGCGACAAGAAATCAAGTTACTCAAGAGTGAGCATCTGTTGATTCACACGCCGCACCAAACGATGTTGGAGACTGTGATGGTGCTGGTGAAACCCATCCGGACTGACGACTTCTCTCGGTTGAAATTTGCACAAGCGCTCGTTTATGAACTGTAAACAAAGTTCCGACTGTACTAATGAAATGTTTTGTTGCTTCTCAGAAGGTTACTCTCCCCAGCTTGGTCTTAACGGAAAACTCAACTGAATCCTGAATCGCTCGTTGCACAAGCGCTCGTTTATGAACTGTAAACAAAGTTCCGACTGTACTAATGAAATGTTTTGTTGCTTCTCAGAAGGTTACTCTCCCCAGCTTGGTCTTAACGGAAAACTCAACTGAATCCTGGCTGAATCGCTCGTTTAGGATATTCTCGAACCGAATGTGGTGTGCAGAGGCTGCCCCATGTGCTTCAGTTTTGGGCCGTCCAGTGGTTTCCTTCAAGAAAATATATTGCTCTCCTTTATTATACGCTTTACCACGTCTAATTTAGCCGGGAGTATGTAGGCTGCTTTCGATCTCATTCTCTCCTGATCCGCGTAATTAGATTAACTAAACGATTGAGGAATTTGCTTTCATATCACTCTTGTTTGAACAGACTCCAGTTTTGCTCTTATTAAGGCAAATAACCAATGCACACCTGTAGCCACCCTGGGAGTTGAACTCTAGGAGAGTGCGTTGTCACCTATTCTACTGGATCGTGCACCTGAATTATCATACCTGAAGAGAAGAACAATGATCGGTTCGCCCAACGATGAAGTGTCAGATGAACACGCTTTATCACATTTAATGCTACCCAACAAACTACTCGGTCAAGTGAGTAGCTGGAAATTTTTACCGTGGGTTGCAGTAGGGCAGGAAACTTATATTTGGATTCAAACTTGTGTACTGTCTACGTGTCGCTGAACCGGGCGAAACGCAGACACCAGACAGATAAATCACTACGATGTCGTAGTCGCTTCATTTCGCTCTCCAAAAATGTAGCCTGGACGTCACCTAGTGCATATTTTAGAATGCATTAAGCCTAGCTAATAGGAACTGGGGAGATGGAGGTTTGATAATCACGTCCGAACTAAACGATTTGTAATTTAATCCAATTTTCTGAGGCCCCATTTCAGCGGAGACTGTCAGTCACACGGTGAATGTGGAAATTGTTAGTTCAGTGTAAAGAATTGAACTATGCGCATCTCACCGAGCTGTCGTAAAATGCATCTGTTTTCGTGTAAGTTGTGCTTTATTTAGATCGCAAATCGAAGGGGATGACTGACCGTATGACAAGAATGTTTTGCCGGCTCTAGAGTGGACAGCTGAATACGGATGTTCAAGCAGTCAAAACACGACAAGAGATTGAGTGGAAAGTCAGTGAGGCGCGGAGTACATGAAGTCGTGTGGAAGATGTGAACCGATACCAGTTGAAG